GGCGGGGGAGGAGAGCCGCGGAGCCTCCCTCCCCCTCCCGCGTGCTCAGGTGCCCAGGGTCAAGGACGGAGGCACGCGGAGAGCTTACCGCAGACAGACAGACAGACATGCCCACGCTCCGACACACAGACACCCACAGTCAGGGAAACAGCCACCCAGCGTCAGGCTGGGACCGAGGAACAGACAGCAGACAGCAGACAGGGAACAGCGCCCGAGGGAGAGGGGAAGCGGCGCCTGCTCCTCGGTGGCCAGCGGCGGGGGCTGGGGGGGGGGGTGAGCAGAGGGTGGGGGAGGCGCCGGCACCCCCTGAAGGACAGCAGCTCTGATCACGTGAGGGCTGCCCCTCCCCCAGCGCCCGGTGGGAACTTTGGGGAGGGGTCAAAGACTGGGGTTTCTTCCTGCAGCCTAGTTGCAGAGGAGCCTAGATCAGCAGCCCAGCCGGTGGGCACTGCTTAGTCTGCTGGAGAGAAGGGGGACCCACCCCAGTTCACCCCCCACCTTTCTGGCAGACTCCCCCAGACCAACTCACCCCAGCCCAGTTCACCCACTGGGCAGGACCTGTCCCACTCAGGCACCCAACTGGTGGCCCTGATGCCAGGCTCCTGGCACTGGCTGGAATGATCCCTCACCCCTCAGACCTTGTTTCCCAGCCTTCCTGTGGCCTGGGACGCTGGGCAGAGCTGTTCACAGACCCAGCCCGCAGCAGCCTCTGGGTCCTGTCCCTCCCTCACTCCCAAGGCCGCCCCAGCCTGGCCTGTGACCCCCACGCCACCCAACCTTGGGAGAGGCCTGGCTCCTATGACCTGGAGCCCCAGGGACCCCACAGTGCCACAGGGAATACTAATTGCTACTCATCCAGGCTTGAGGGACAGTCAGCAAAAGTCTGTAAAGTCCTTGCAAAATCACCACTGTCCTGGTGGTGGTCATTAATCTGGAAACTTGCAGAATGCATGTTTCAAGTCCAAGTAAGTTACTGGGACCCCCAAGCAGAACCCAGGGCTGGGGTGTGGTGGAGGTCTGCTTGCCTCCCCTCCCCCACCTTTCTCCCCAAAGACTTCCCTGCCTGTTGTTCACCCCCAGAGAGCCAGTGGGGCAGAAAGCCAGCTGGGCAGGGAAACTCGGTGGTCTTTCCTTCCAGCGCAGCCCCTACCCCCACAGTTATTGGGAGGGATTGTCGCCCCGAGGGCAGTGTTGAAAGAATGTCTGTGTGTCATCCCTGCCGCAGCCGGTAGGTACTCGGAGTAGAAGGCCCACCTTGAGGACCACACTCTGTCCTAGAGGTCATTTTCCACCCTGGCCCTGTGGGACCCCATGGTATGACCTTAGGACCTTAGGATGCCTGGTGGTCTTCCATAAATGGAGGCGAACCGGATTCCTGGGAGTGCTCAGCCCAGAGGTTTGACAAGAGGACAGTGGTTGTGGTGGGCGCCCCGTGGATCTGGCTAGCCCTCACTCATGTGACCTCATTAGCTCCAGGAGCCCTGACAGCGGGAAGGAAGGACCAGCAGAGCCTGCAGGTCGCCTGCCTAGGATTACACGAGGCCTGGGGCCTACACACACAACCCAGCGTGCTGGCCTGGTCCGGAGGAGGGCCCCTGAGGTCTGTCAATGTACCAGTGTGGCCCGCATGCCTGCTCAAGGCCCCAGCATGGCCCTGTTCCTGCAGACAGCGGAACAAGGCAGGCTTCATGGGGCTCAGGTCCTGGAGGACTCTGTCTTGGAGTGACTCTCCATTTCCGTGCTGTGGGTAGAAAAGGGAGTGTGGTCAGTGGGAAGTTCCATGCGTCCAGGGACAGCAGTTGGTGTCCTAGTTAAGGGAGCCAGAGGCCTGGAGGGAAAAACCTGAAGATGGAGACACAGAGCCCTGGGCCAGAGCCAAATCGATGACAGGAGACTGGGCACCCATGAGTTTTATCTGCCTCCTGCAAACATCTATCCCAACACATCTGCCTCAAAGAGGCCCTGTCAATAAACCACCCAGACCAGCAAGGAGGCAGCCCGGAGGCAGCGGCCATGGTGGGCGGTGACGGGTCCAGGAGCGTAGCTCTCACCTGCTGAAGCCCACTCCTTCAGTGTCTGACTACCAGCCCCAAAATGGCACCTAGTACCCAAAGGGCCTAGCAGTGGAGGAGAACAGCCTGTGGCCAACTGCCCGCGTGGTGTTCACCTGCGCCCCCACCCCGGGCACAGTGCCTGCTCTGGTAGCAGCTTCCTCCTCCTGCCCACAGAGTTGGTGCCATGAGGCAGGGCTCACGTCTGGAGTCCATACCCAAGGGCAGGCACTTCCCCTGAGCATAGTGTCCTGCCAGGGGCTGTATCCCAGTGACAGAAGGGTCTGAATGGCCCGAGGTCACGGGCCAGGCAGTGTGGTCCACATGCCATCCCACAGCAGCTGCCTCCCAGAATGAAGGGCCACCGCTGTGGGCACAGCTTGGGATGGGATGTGAATGGGCAGGAGCAGAGACAAAGGCATGGGGAGGGAGGGAGGCCTGGGGCAAGTGGGGTGACAGCCCACGGCGTGGACAGGATGCTGGCGCTTCCTCAGGGTGAGGCGGAGCTCGGGGGAATTTGGGGACTGGCAGGTGGCTGTGGGGGGGGGTTCTCCGGCAGGATGAGGACGGAAGGCGGGGTTCGTTGGATGCTGTTGTGCAGCCCAGATGGGAGACTGACCGGAGATCTCGATGGCTGTGAGAAGCAGGGACTCTGGTCCGACCTGACTCAGGTTTGGCGTCCACACAGAGGCATGGAGCAGCTTGGGGGTTGGGGAGGGGGTTGACGGGGAGCTGCATTTTGAGTGTCCTGAGACTGAATTGCCAGGCCGTCATTAGGAGGCATGCCACGGGTGACTGGGGCCTTGGGTGGAGGTGCCCCGGGCTGGAAGGTCCCAGCCCTCAGACTAGCCAGTGCCGGCCTGGGTGGCCGCTTGCCTCTGGCTTCTGTTGCTCTGCTAGAAAAGACCGTTCTCCCTTGATGGAGGGCGAGCCCGATGCCGCTGCCCGCGGCGCTCAGCCTCTGCTGCGAGGACAGGGCTCGCTAATGAGAAGTAATGAGGGAGCAGGGGCCATGGAAGGCCAGCTGCAGTCCCAGTGACCGCTGGGGGCCCAGCCAGGGCGTGGGGCCAGCGTGCACCTCCCCTTAGAGGACCTGATATTCTCTCTCATTCTGCGGAGCTCATTTGAATATGGGAATGCAGATCTTTCTTTTTTTGTTCCTTGTCTCCCCCCCCCCCATCCCGTGACATTCTGCGCCAGCGCCGGGTGCGTCCTGATGAGCTCAGGGCCAGGGCAGGATAAAAATGGCGTCTGAGGCCACCAATGTAGAATAAAAAGCTGAGTCTGACTCCCTCTGTCTTTGAGGCCAGGCAGATCAAGGTTCAAGAGTTAAGAAGGAGGTGGAACGGGAGGTCCAAAGACAGGATTGCTATCCTTTGGCTGGAAGTGAAAAAAGCAAAACACAACAGAAACCCCTGGAAGCTCGGAGGCAAAAGGCCCATCTGTGGTCGCCCAGGTCTGCGACGTTCAGCGGCGGTGTTCAGGCATGGCTGCATCCAGGCACTCAAAGGGCTGCTGCCTCCTGCCCACTCTTTCCCTGAGCTGGCTTTCTTCCCAGGCAGGGAGCGTGTCCTGAGGTCTCTCATGCCTCTCTAACCTGCCCTCCCGCCTCCCCCCACACTCCCCAAAAGGGAGAGGGGCTGCCACACACTGGAACCTCTCTGCATGGGTCCGGCCCGTCCACCATGGTGCCCGGCTGAGTGTTGTTCAGAGTCTGTGTGGTGGTGCGTGGGCCTGGTCTCTCAGCGGCTGCCCTCGGAATCCCCGCTCCCCGGGGAGCCTGTGCCCGCTGTGTCTCTGACGTGGCCCGGGCGCAGGGCACTGGCCACCCTCAGCCAGCTGGTGGCCTTTTATCTGAGTTCCTGTCTCTGCTGCCTGTCCTGAGCCCAGGACAGAGTGAGACAGAATAACGACGAGCAAACACAATAGAGAGGGAGAGAAAGGACCCGCTGGTCGCTGTCAAGAGGGCCAGGCAGGCCAGCTCTGGACAGCCGCATCTGTCCCAGGAAGGAAGTCTGTGCCTACTCCTTGTCCACCATCGCCAGCCCGGTGCACCGGAACTCAACCTTCCCTGCACATGCCCGGCTCCCTCCATTTCTGGCGGAGAGTGCCCTGCAGGTCCGGTTGAAGCAGATGGGACAGCACAGGTGCCTGGTGAGCCTGGCCTGCACACCTCAGGCTGGGTGGTTGGGTGGCTGGGCCCAGGCAGGGCAGCCGGCCAGGCCGACCCCTGGCCAGGCCCGGCCCTGTCTGTGTGTAGGGTGGGGTGGGGGCAGGTGGTCTGCAGATGAGGACTGTGACGGCAGAAAGCCTCCACCACCTGGTGCCTGGTGCAGCCGCCTTGGTGCCAGGGCTGAGAGTGAGGCCTGGAAGCTGACCCCACCCCCTTCCAGACAGTCCCCTGTCTCAGCTGCAGACACCCATAGGCCCCTCTGGGCTCCCCCTTACCTGAGCTGCTCTGAAGCCTCAGTGCTGGTGGTTATGCTGTGTGTGTGTGTGTGTGTGTGTGTGTGTGTATACAGATATGTCAGAGGATGGTGAGCCCCAGGGGAGGCTCTGATCCAGCCCTGCCCTGGGGAGGGGCTGCCTCAGTTTACCCTGTGCAGCTCTGTTTAACTCCCACAGTCCCTTGGGATTCAGGGCAGTGATTCAGGGTGGTTCCTTAGGGAACCAGCCCTGCCAGGAAAATAATGAATGAGCGATTCCAACTGCTTTTAGCTCTGGGCCTTCCAGATCCCATTAACGAAGAGAGTCTTGGTCCTGGGGGGATGAAGGAAGGACTGTGAGGCCTGAGCCCCGGGGCTGGGGGCCTACCTGCCTGTTTGGCTGCGTGCTGTGTCTGGCTGTGTCTGTGTGCTCTCTGGGCATGTCTACATGTAGGGATGGAGCGGGGGGTCTAGAAGAGGCCACCACTTCCATCCCATAGGGTAGGTTGGTGTCACAGAGTCCTGGGGAGGGCAGGGGTCGGGTGTCCCTGGGTCAGCAGGGAGCCCAGGACTTGCAGGACACACACACACACACACACACACACTCACAAGACCTGAGAACATGAGAAATCCTGGGAGCACATTGTCCCTGAGCCCCTGAAGCATGTTGGGGTGCTGAGGGGGTGGGGGTAGTGCCACAGAACTGGCACTTCCTGGGCAAGGAAGGTGGCTCGGTGGTAGAGTGCCTGCCTAGCATGCATGAAGCCCTGGATTTCTCAGCACCACATAAGCAGAAAAAGCCAGAAATAGTGCTGTGGCTCAAGTGGTAGAGTGCTAGCCTTGAGCAAAAGCAGCTCAGGGACAGTGGTGCCCAGGCCCTGAGTTCAAGGCCCAGGACTGGCAAAAAAAAACAATCACCTCCAGGGGCTCCTGTGGTTGGCACGGGTGAGGGCGCTGGGGGCTGGCATCGCACGCCTGTAATCCAAGCTACCCAGGAAGCTAATATCTGAGGATTGTGGTTCAAAGCCACCCAAGCAGGAAAGTCCATGAGATTCTTTTTCTTTTTCTTTGCCAGGGCTGGTTTCCAATTCCAGCCTCCTGAGCTAGCTAGGATACACAGGCATGAGCCGCCAGCATCCTCTCCCCCGCTCCCATCTTATACATTTCTTTCTTTTTTTCTTTTTTTTTTTGTCGGTTGTGGAGCCTGAACTCTGGGCCTGGGCACTGTCCCTCAGCTCTTCAGCTCAAGGCTAGCGGTCTACTACACGAGCCACAGCGCCACTTCCAGCCTTTTCTGCTTATGTGGTGCTGAAGAATCGAACCCAGGGCCTCATGCATACAAGGCAAACACTACCACTGAGCCACTGTCCCAGCCCTGTCCATGAGATTCTTTATCTCCAATTAAGCAGCAAAAAGCCAGAAGTGGGGGCTGGGAAGGTGGCTCAGTGGTAGAGCGCTTGTCTTGCATGCCTGAGGCCCTGGGTTCAATTCCTCAGCACCACGTAAGCAAAACAAAAAAAGCCAGAAGTGGCGCTGTGGCTCAAGTGGTAGAGCGCTAGCCTTGAGCTGAAGAGCTGAGGGACAGCGGCCAGGCCCAGAGTTCAGGCCCCACAACCAGATCCCCCAAACAAACAAACAAACAAACAAAAAAGAGTGAAGCTGTGGTTCAACTTAGTAGAGTGCCAACCTTGAGGGAAAACTCCAAGCAGAGCGTGAAGTCTTGAGTTCAAGCCCCAGTACACACACACACACACACACACACACACACACACACACACACACACACACGTTTTCCAGCAAAGAGGCATTTGTGCCTTTCATTTCCAGCAGGGCAACAGCAGCCAGAAGCAGAAAGTGGCAGCACAAGGTCTGTCGGAGGAGGAGAGGCCCAGGCCCCCGGCCCCAGGGCCCACCTTTTGCAGGCTTGGAGGGGGCCATGGGGAGGGTTGTGCCCGTTCCTTGGATCTCCAGCCCCTGCCCTCTGCCTCACACTCCCGCCCAACCTGGCCCAGCGTGGCCTCTCCCTGGCATCACATGACCTCCTCTTTCCCTAGATGTGTGATCAGTGAGGTGCCATGTTCCAGACACACAGGGGTGCAGCCCAGCGCCCCCTGGCGGGCCCCGCCTGGCATGTCACCCTGGAGCGCTCTCCCACCCCGGATGTCCTGGTGAAGAGGAGGTCATTCAGAGACCTCACCCCACAGACGCTATCCCCGCCCCGTGTGGAAAAGTGAGCTAGTGCGAGGACTCGTCATCCACCAGGATGAAGACCTGGGTGTGCCCCACGTCCACCGATGGGGGATGGGCCCTCAGCTGCGGCTGGATGGGGAGCTGGCAGCTGGCAGCCGGCATCGAATCTGTCTCCTCTGCTCCAGGCTCAGCCCTGCTCTGCTCCTCTGAGTTGGCCACTTTGATCAGCCTACCCACTGCCCCAGGCCCCAAGAGCCTGGGCATCCAGACGTCTAGGAGCCAATGAAAAGACCTAGACTCCTGGGGACCAGGGCTCTGTCTCCACCGCAAGCCATCTGCCTGGGCGGCCCCCACCCACCCCGGCAGACCACAGGCGTCTGCTCAGCACCTGCCCGTGAGCATGGGCCCCTGACTCCTTCAGGCGGTGGGGGGGGGGCACTGGGTGCTAGCATGGCCTCCTGGCTAGCGGGGAGGCGGTGGGGGTGGTGGCACCAGCAGGGCCCTCACCTCTCTTTCCAGAACAGCCCCAGCCGCCTGCCTGGCTGGCCCTCACCAGGCTGAGAGGGCGCTGGGCGCAGGCGGTGCATGCCAGTCTGCAGAGGGGGCCCTTCCACAGGGCGGCCGGGCTCCGCCGAGCCCACCAAGCACCACAGACCCGGCCCCAAGATCGCTACGGATTCCGACGGCATTGGCAGAGAAGGGAGCTGAGCCCGGATAGCGAGAGCTGGGCTCCCAGCCAACTGCAGCGAGGCCAGGGGTCGTGGCCGGGTCTCCCGCGCCTGCCTTCCGCTCCTCCCTCCTGACCTCGTCTCAGAAGGGGATGGAGGGGCACGGGCATCCCCGGGACGCCCGAACGCCTGGCTGTCTTAACATCTCCACTCGAGCTCTAAGGGATGGTGCAGGTGGGGAGCCGGGCCAGGGGCGGGGCCAGCGCCCCTCGTGGGCCCCGGCGACTCCAGGAAGGGGCCGCACCCCTGCCCTCTGCTCCGGGCTCTGTCCCCGCCCCCATCCGGCTGCCCACGAGGGTTTAAGATGCCCCTTTCACCCCCACACAGCGGTGTCCCTGGCACCGAGGCCCAGCCAGCGGCTCCGGCCGACGCACTTGGCTCCCGGCTGCCGCTC